ACGCAATTTCTAACCTTTTGTCCATGAAACCTTCTCTCTTTCATCTCTTGCTCGTTCTAGTGGCATGTCCAGGGTCTTGGTGGGTAACAATTCAGTGCCACAACACATTCCCTCCTGTATAGTGTAAGGGTCTGTGTGGAATAGAGTTGTTGTTCACCGAAGGGTCTCACATCACTGGAACTTGAAGCCTGCTCTCTCACAGAACATTACCTCACCCACTCTAGATGGGCTCATAGCCATTTTCAATTCCATTGTGCACATACAATTTACAGGATAACAGAAAATAACAGTCACTGCTCCTGGGATAGTTACTTGCCGTTGTGTAGGTGAAGCCCCCAAGCACTAAAATCCCCTTCCAGATAGTCCTCCCCATGAACCCCATAAGCATTGCACCTCCACAAGTTTCGAACCAATTATTTGAGTTTGCATTTGTCCACCTTAATCCACAACCCCAAGCATGAAGTCAACATGCCAACTGTAGCAATATACTGTTCTTTGCAGAAGCGAGGGTGCTGCTCACTTTTGATGAACCCCCTTCTACGTGACTCCTTTCCCAGACATTTCATCATCTGCCCCCGTTGCCCTCCTTCGCAATTGTCAGCCTCTCAGCATCTCAGCCATCAGCCTCCACTTCCCAAGATTATGTTCCCCAGTCTCCCTCCCGCAGCACCTAGCCCTGATAACGGCTCTCCCCCCACCTTCCATTTTGACTTTCAGTAAACAAACCCTTGGACTGACTTGTTCACCCCTTGAGCGATTTCACTGGCCAGCCTGAAACAAGAAGTGGCCAGACCCCTGGCTGATGCCTGTAGACCTCCCTGCCTGTGATCCTATGACTCTCCAAACTGGTTGCATTGTACCCACAGGGTGTCTGTGACCCACCCCCCGCTCTGATGGAATGGTCTCCTGACCTTGACTGCAGCAACTGGATGTCTGACCATGCCATGCCTCTGGGCTGGTTGGTAAGGTTAGAGCACGTGAAATCCAGGGAGAGCTAGCCACTTGGATACAAAATTGACTTGAAAATAGGAGACAGAGGGTGGTAGTGGAGGGCTGTTTCTCAGACTGAAGGCCTGTAACCAATGGGGTGCCACAAGGATCAGTGCTGGGTTTACTGCTATTTGTCATTTATATCTGATTTAGATGTGAATATAGGAATTAAGGTTAGTAAGTTTGAGGATGACACCAAAATTGGTGGTGTAGTGGATAGTGAAGAAGGTTATCTCAGATTACAACAGGACATTGATCAGATGGGCCAATGGGCCAAAGAGCAGCAAATAGACTTTAATTTTGGTATGGCAAATCAGGGCAGGACTTATACACTTAATGGTAAGGTCCTGGGAGGTGTTGCCAAACAAAGAGATCTTGGGGTGCAGGTTTATTGTTCCTTGAAGATGGAATCACAAGTAGACGGGGTAGTGAAGAAGGCATTTGGTATGCTGTCTTTATTGGTCAGTACATTGAGTACAGGAGTTATGAGGTCATGTTGCGGTTGTACAAGACATTGACTAGGCCACTTTTGGATTACTGCTTTCAATTCTGGTCTCCCTGCTATATGAAAGATGTTGTTAAACTTGAAAGGGTTCAGAAAAGATTTACAAGGATGTTGCCAGGGGGTGAGGGTTTGAGCTATGGGAAGAGGCTGAATAGGCTGGACTATTTTTCCTGGAGAATCAGAGGCTGAGGGGTGACCTTATAGAGGTTTATAAAATCATGAGGGGCATGGATAGGGTGAATAACAGAGGTCTTTTTACCAGGATAGGGGAGTCATAGAATCATAGAACACGGAAATAAACCCTCCAGTCTAACCAATCCATTCCAACAATAATTCCAAACTAAACTAGTTCCACCTGCCTGCACTTGGCCCATATCCTTCCAAACATCTCTTATTCGTGTACTTATCTAAATGTTTTTTAAATGTTGTAACTGTACCCGCATCCACCACTTCCTCTGGAAGTTCATTCCACACGCAAACCTATGTGGAATCTGTATAAAAAATTGCCCCTCATTTTTAAAAAATATTTCTCCTCTAACCTTAAAACTACGCCCCGGACTTGAAATTCCTCACCCTAGGGAAAAGACACATGCCATTCACCTTATATATACTCCTCATTATTTCATAAACCTCTACAAGGTTACCTCTCAACCTCCTTGTTCCAGTGAAAAAAGTCCCAGCCTATCCAGCCTCTCTTCATAACTCAAACCCTCCATTCCTGGCAATATCCTGGTAGATGTCTTCTGAAGCCTGTTGAGCCTAATAATATCATTCCTATAATGGGGAGACCAGAACTGGACACAGTACTCCAGAGGGGGCCTCATCAACGTCCTGTTCAACCTCAACATGACATCCCAACTCAAATACTCAAAGGTCTGAGAAACAAAGACAAGCATGCTAAATGGCTTCTTAACCACCCCATCTATATGTGATGCAAACTTCTAAGTATTACCTACCTGAACACCCTATATCTCTCTGCTCTACAGCATTGCCAAGGCCCTACTTTTAATTGGAAAAGTCTTGTCTTTATTTGTTTTACCAAGACACAATACCTTGCAAAACTGGAGGGTGTAAGTTTAAGGTGAGAGAGGAAAGATTTAAAAGGGACCTAAGGGGCAACTTTTTCTCACCCAGGGTGGTGCGTGTACAGAATGAGCTGCCAGAGGAGGTGGTGGAGATAGGTACAATTTCCACATTTAAAAGGCATCTGGATGGCTACATGAATAGGAAGGGTTTAGAGGGATAAGGGCCAAATGCTGGTAAATGATTAGTTTTAGGATATCTGGTCAGCATGGACGAGTTGTACCAAAGGATCTGTTTCTGTGCTGTACAGCTGTATGACTTTATGACTCTTTATGACTGATGTTGGAGTCTGCCCTTGACTTACTATGCATGACTGACAGGAGCCTTTCTGGACCTCAGTGAGGTCTAATCCCATTAAATATTGAGTCACGGCAGTTTGTTGCAGTGGCACATGGTGTGAGATTGACATAACAATGCACTGTACTGAGGGATGGCCTCCCCAGTGACTGAGGATTACTGACCAGCAAGACAAGCATATGCTTTTGTGTATCCATTAAGAAGCAAGTCAAGGCAGTAGTACTGTGACCCTTAAGCTCTGCCAGGGGCTAATGTGCTAAAAGGCAAGGCATCGTAAAGGAAGACGAGGCAAAGCAGTGATGCTGTGAGCATGCAGCTGGGCTCTAAGTGAGCAAGTGCTGAGTGAACAGCCATGAGATGCAGCCTGGTCCTTTCCATGGGCTGGGTGCCTGTCCCTGAGTGCAAAGTGCAAAGCAACATTTCAATGATAGCTGCCAGTTTGCTCTAGAGTGCAGCAGTGTAAAGTAAGTGGTTTGGAAATATTCTACGTTTGCACAGAGAGGCTGGTGCATGTCAAATATCAGTATTTGTGGATGTCAAATGCACGCAGCCATTACCCTGGAACATTACCCTGAAACATTGGTGCTGTGCGTCCAAGGTGACAGTCCATAGGAGCAATTGCCAAACTCAAGTCGCAAATTACATGCTCCGACTTTCATATCTAGAGTTCTTGGCATCTAGTTTCTATCCACCCCGGGGTACCATAGGAAGCTGCACATCACTGAGGTGAGATTTGCAGTCAATGAGGTGATGGCAAGCAATAATCCCCATCTCACCGCTCCTGAGTGAGAATTATGACTTGACATCCAGAACTCTATGGGAAAATGCAACTCTGTCTCCTGAAATCAAGAAAAGCCTTTCTGGACTTCTTCCTTGATTCTCTCAGATTTCTCACCATAGCCCAAGCTGTCCTGGGCCCTGTAAGATTCTGTTTAAGCTGTCATTGACTGTCACAGTGTCAGCATGAAATTGGAGTCCTGCCTTTATCAGAAGCAATTGATAAAGGTTAATCACAAATTGTAATCCCTCCATCTGTTTTCAGGGGCTATCAAATGTTGCCCCCATTCTGTTTCAATTATTTGAGATTATTCACTGCAGAAGGGTAGCAGTTTCGCTATTTTTATATTATTACAAAAGAGAAGTTTTATTGATTAAACAAAATAAATCTGATCGTAAAACAAGCTATTGTCATATTATAAACAATCCACATCAGGCCACCTCTCACCGAATGGTAATGTAGACTGTCACTAGAGAGACGAGAGAACTATGTGTCTGATACATAAATATTAATCCAGATAGTGAATGCTGTTTTACTTATTCATGGCATGTGAGCAATCTGTGATGTAGGTACTCACACAGTGCTGCTTGGAAGAGAGTTTCGGGTGTTCGATCCAGCAACAGTGAATATAGTTCCAACTCTGTTCTCTTCAAAGAGAATTTGCAGGTGGTAGTTGTTCCTATGAATCTTGTGGGCTTGGCAGGTACAGTTGAATGAGGCATCATGAGTTATTTTAATGCATCTTGCAGATTGGCAGGATATTCTTTTTACCCAGGGCTCAGGTTCTGCTATTGTAGAATTAGATATTGGGAATAAATGTGACATTCAGACTACTTAGGGAACTGACCAATTACACTGAACTGAAGAAAACATACTCAAGAGTTACATTGTGAACAACACGTAAAAGGTAGGGATTACTCACTGAACAACTGAACAGAAACATTGTTTATTCAGGATAATGATTAATTGAACTGGCTTCAGTCCCTTTGAATGTGAAGCAGTGACAGGCTTATTTAATATAATGCAACTCAGGCAAAATTCATGCAGCAAATACACAGATATAACTGCACTAATGTTCCTCCCACATTTTTTACACTATTCTGCATCCCAAAGTTCCTTCCATGGTCTTAGCCATCTTTATTCCAACCTGCATTTTGCAGGAGGTAGTAACCAAATGGGTTCTACATCTCATATGAGTTGTACACCATTGAAGTGAGAATCTCCCTGGCTGTCAGCCTGGAATTCAGAACCAATTAGAGGAATGAAATCATAATGAACAAAAATCCTTCCTTCTCTGTGCCTATCATCAGCAACAATCAGGGAGCACACAGAAACATTCTGACCCATACCCCAGGAAGTTAGCTGCCTCAGTTCAATAGCCATCTATCCCTAGCTACTTTCTACCCACTTTCTCTTACCTTCCACCATACACTCCAAATACCACCTTATATTTGGCAGTACTTGAAAAACTTTACAGGGGCTTAAACTAGATTTTTTATTTTCATTTTCTCTCCTCCCTGTGCAAGGAAATCTTCAACATTTTTGTTTTTGCCACTCCCTTGTTGAAGATGTAATGTGAGCGTTTTTCTCTGATGATCATTTTCAGTTTCTGCAACAAGGCAGTGAAATGCAACACATCCTCTTCACAGCTCTGTAATATTAAGACAAATCAATATCATCCACCACATAGCTTTCAGATAAGAAGACTTAAATTTAAGGCCAAAAGATGAAAGATCAGAGATTTTAAAAAAAAATTGTTCATGGGATGTGGGCCTCATTGGCTAATTGCCCAGACGGCACTTAACAGTTGACCACACTGCTCTGGAGTCACACGTAGGCCAGATCAGGTAAGGATGGCAGATTTCCTTCTCTGAATGCCATTAGTCAACCAGATGCATTTTTATGACAATTGACAATCGTCACATTGTCAACATTAGGGCAGATTTTTATTTCAAAGTTTTACTGAATTCAAATTTCACCATCTGCCATAATAAGATTCAAACCCATGTCACCAGAACTTTATACTAGTGTTCTGGGTTACTGGGCCAATGATGTTACCATTATGTCACCATCTCCAAAATCATAAGAATCGTAAGAACCAAGTGAAAAATAAAGGGGCATTGGGAAAAAAACAGATAACAGATCATGTTGAAGAAGTGAATTGAAGAGTTAGGGGCCACAGTGAAGATGAAGGACTCTGGATAAAGGCCTCTAAGTGTGTGTTATTGTATAAGAGCAGGAGTAGGCCATTCGGTCCTTCGAGCCTGCTCGAAAATATGATCTTGACTGATCATCCAACTCATTACCTTATTCCCACTTTCTCACCATGTCCTTTGATGCCTTTGATCTTAAATTATGTGCATGATGCAAGGCACTACTATAGTCAAAATAATAGGAGAGAAAGCAAGTTAAATCAGGAAATTGGATTGTAGAGTAAGGCAAATTGAAAGAATTCCATAGTTCTGAAGACCAAGCCAAAATAATTTAGTTTAGAAGATAATGTAATAAATCAAGATTTTAACACAATAAGGAGACAGGGAGGAATTTCCATATGAGGTGGGATACTTGGAGTTTCCAAAAGCGTTGCTCTAAAAAAACATGAAGTCAAAGCTTTTCATTTTGACTTCATCAGGACTGATACACAACAAAGCAGACTTGGGAAAAAAAACATCAATCAAATCATTTGAGAAGAGAATTGCTTGGACCATGAATGGCATGGATGCAGCAGGAACAGGTAACTATTAATTACAATTAACTGAAAAACCTCAAACATATGACAATACAATCAAGGAATAACAATAGTCCACCAAAGGGATGGTGGGAGTGAGGGTAGAAAAAACTCTTCAAGTCTGCTCCACCATTCAATAACATCACGGTTGATCTGATTTTAACCATAACTTGACATTACTGCATGCCCTCAATAAGCTTTCATTCCATTGGTAATCAAGAATCTATTTACCTCTGCTTTAGAAGGGAATTCCAAAGACTCCCAACCCTTTGAGAGGAAAATATTTTCCTTATCTATATCTTAAATGGGCAACTGTTTATTTGTAAACTATGATCCCTAATTCTAGATTCTCCCACAAGAGGAAACATCCTTTCATCGTCCACCCAGCTGAGTCCTCTCAGAGTCTTATACGTTTTGATTGAATAATTTCTGGCTCTTCTAACTCCACAGGATATTAGCCTACCCTGTCTACCCTTTCCTCATTAGGCAACACAGTACTCCAGATGCAGTCTCACTAATGATCTGTGTAACTAAAACATAATCTTCCAACCTTGCATTTGATGGATTTCATCGTTGGGTCTTAAAAGAACAGCTAGTGAGGTAGTTGCTGCTTTGGTTTTAATTTCTAAAACTCATTAGATTTGGGAAGGTTCCTTTATATTGGAAAATAACTAATGTAATTCCTTTATTCAAAAAGGTAGGGAGGCAGAAAGCAGGAAACTACAGGCCAGTTAACTTAGCACCTATTATGGGGTAATCATTAGAAGCTATTAGTAACGACATTATAATAAGACACTTGGATAAGTTCAAAGTTATCAGGCATAGCCAACAAGCTTTTATCGAAGAGAAATCATGTTTAACTAATGTATTGGAGTTCTTTGGAGGAGTAACTTGGTGTCTCACAGGGTCAGTGTTGGGACCTCAACTCTTCACTACTTACATAAATGATTTGGATGAAGGAATCAAAGGTATGATCACTAAATATGCTGATGACACAAAGATAGGTAGGAAAATGAGTTGCAAATAGGACATAAGGAGCCTACAAAGAGATACAGATAGATTTAGTAAATGAGCAAAGATCTGGTAAATGAAGTACAAAGTTGGAAAGTGTGAAATCGTCCATTTTGATAGAAGTAATAAAACAGAAGCATATTATTTAAATGGTGAGAGTTGCAGAGTCCTCAGATTTGGGTGTCCTAGTGCATTAACAGCAGAAGGTTAGTATACAGATATGGCAAGTATTCAGGAAAGCAATTTGAATGTTATATTTTATTACAATTTTTATGTTTTATTTCCCCACAACAGATATTAAGCTATAATGTCCTGCTTTCTGCCTCCTTCATAGAAGCATACAGAGACACAGAAGGGAGGAGCAGGAGTAGGCCATTCAGCCCCTTGAGCCTGCTCTGCCATTTAATATTATCATGGCTGACCATCAAGTTCAGTACCATAATTCCGCTCTCCTCCTATTTCCCCCATCCCTTCAGCCACAAGGGTTATATTTACCTCCTTTGTGAAAACACATAATGTTTTGGCCTCCACCACATTCTGGGGTCATGAATTACATGGGCTCACCATTCTCTGGATGAAAAAAATATCTCTCTTCATCTTAGTCCTGAAATACTTACCCTTTATGCTGAGACTATGACTCCCTGTTTCTGGACTCGTCCACCATCAGAATACAATGCTAACCAACTCAATCTCTCCTCACCCAGCAGTCCTGCCATCCCAGGAATCAATTTGGTAAACCTTCATTGCACCGCCCTCTCTTTTTCAATAAAGGAGTTAAGTAACTATTTCATAATTTAAAGAAACTTTCCCTGAAGCGAATGAATTTTGGTAAATTAAAACAAATGGTTCAAATATTTCACTAGCTATTTCTAGTATTTATTGATAGTCTAGGACCATTAAAATCCATTAAGACCTAAAGACCTGTCAACTCACAGTTGAAACAATTTGCTCAGTACTACTTCTCTTGTAATTGTAATTTTCTGGAGATTTTCCCTTTGTTTCAGTTCCTGATTAACATCTATTTCTGGGATGTTACTTTTATCTTCTCCAGTGAAGTCCAATGCAAAATATCTGTTCAATTCATCTGCCATCTTTTTATCCACCATTACAAATTTCCTAGACTCATTTCCTGTAAGACCAATGCTTTTCTTTTTAATTGTTAATCTTTTTTCTTGTTAATGCTTTTCTTTTTAAAATATATGAAGAAACTTTTCTAATCTCTTTTTATACTTTTGGATAACATACTTTAATTTTTACTCCTTATTAATCTTTTCATAATTCTTTGTTGTTTGTTATATTCTGTTCAATCTTCAGACCTGCCACCTATTCTTGCACAATTATATGTCTTTCTTTGAATTTAATACTATCTTTGACTTTCTTAGTTAATCATTTATGGTAGGTCTGTCCCTTAGGATTTCCCTTATTTGCTGGAATGTATCTGATCTGTGCTTTCTGGAATATCAACTTCAATGTTTGCCAATACATCTCTATCGACCTATCTCTTAACCTAAATTGCCAATTCATTTTTGCTCACTATGCTTTCAGGCCCTCATAATTGCCCTTGTTCATATTCAAATTAGTAGTCTTGGACCCGCACTTCTCTTCCTTAAACTCTTTGTAAAATTCAATCATGTTACAGTCACCGCTACCCAATGGCTCTTTCCCTATGGCATTAGTAAGGAATCCTATCTCATTGGTCAAAACCATAACTAGTACAGCCTACTCTCTGGTAGGCACGATTACATGTTGGTCTAAGAAACATATCCGAAAACATTCAATGAATTCTTTATTTAGACTACTTTGCTCTCAATCTGATTTTTCCAGTCTATATGTAGGCTAAAATCCACCATGATCATTGCTATATCTTTTTGACAAGCTCCCATCATTTCTTCCCTGATACCCTGTCCTCTACCATATGGTTACTGTTGGGAACCTGTACACAATTCCCACAAGTGATCTCTTGCTTTTATTATTCCTTATTTCTACCCAGGCTGCTTTTATATTTTGGTTTCCTGAATTTAGGTCATTCCTCCCTATTGTGATAATATATTGTTTAATTAACAGAGCCACTACTCCATCTTTTCCTAGCTGCCTTCCTTCCTAAATGTCACATACCCTTCAATACTCAGGTCCCAATTTACAATAAGTAAGTATTATCTCGTGACCACATCTCAGTAGTGGCCACAAGATCATACTTATTTATCTCAATTTTTACAACTAGTTCACTTGCTTTGTTTCAAATTCTGCATGCCTTTAGATACAGTGCTTTAAATTTTGTCCTTTCATTACTTTTGTAACCTCTAATCTTATCTGCTGATTTGCTTTTAGATCTGCTTTCTTTGTCCCTTCTGGTCATCATCTGTTTATGGCTTCCCACATTAATTCCTTCCTCTCTTGTGTTTCCTCTTCTCATGCTGCAAAAATTTCTGTTCCTCTTCCAAGTTTGTTTTCTTGCATGTCTGTCTGGGTGAGTACAATATGAAATCTTTGACTTTGTGTCTCTTTTTATCAATGACTAAGTTCTGTATTGTGAGGCAATTATTTAGAAAAATGTATTTAAGGGAGGTCGAGACAAGCCATCAAAGTGCAAGCATCAGACAAATTAGCGATTTGTCCATTCATTGTAGCAAGTTGAAAGAGGCTCCCTATTTATAAGGAAGAACTTGCCTAATAGCACCTTTCATTATCGTCATTATTGTGGGGTGGCAAAGAATGGCAACTAATTTGTGCATTGTAAGGACACACAAACAGGGAGGAGATAAATTACCACATTACCTATTTAAGTCATGTTGGTTTCTGGGTAACTGTGGGCCAGGACACCTGGGGAGGAGGGATTTCTCCTGCTCTTTGAAATAGTGTCATCAGGCCTTTACCACCCGAGAGGCAAACAAGATCACATCCGAAAGATGGTAATACTGACACTGCAGCATTCCCTTAGTTCAACACTAAGGCATGAGCCTAGTTTATGTGCTCAAGCTTTATTGAAAGTCCCTACCTGAGTCAGTGCCAGGATCAGTCGGTGAATTATGGAATTTTCCAATGTAGAGGGTAGGCCAGTGAATTTACTGATACAATCCAAGATGCAATTGATTGTTCCTTCCTGACACTAGAAGATGAAGGAACAAACAAAGAATGTTGAGGATCATCCTATAAATCAGGATTGGATTAGGTGCCCATTTTCACAAAGCAAGCACAAAAATAGACAAGATCACAAAGAACCCTAGTCACATGGAAAATTCCTGCTATTCTTCCACTGTATTTGAGAATTCCTACATGGCCTTATGAGAGTGCAACCTCTGTACCTCCCATGTCTGGGAACACACAACAAACAGGTTGTTGCATTAAGGGCAACGTCTCCCAATAATAGGGGATCTCCAGGCCTCCATCTATTGGCATGGCCCAGAAGAGTGGGAGGAGAGATGGCCAGTCAGTGCTACTCACTGGGACCTGTGCTCCAGGCTCAATGGTCAGGTGGCAACTCTCAAAATATGACGGGCAGTAGACAAATTCACCCCCAAAAGATCTGGAAAAAATTCAATCTCAGGGGCAACTTAATGGGAGAATATTTGCCCCTGTACATGGAACCATCAGAATCTCTGAGCTGCTCTTCCAATCACAGGCTTTTTAACTCCTGTGCTTGCTGCTGATAGGTTCAATAGCAACTCTGTGTTACTGACATGGGTGAGAAACGGCATGTTGGTGGAGTAGTAGTGAGAAGGTATATGGTGACAATGAGATACCGGGACTATATGAGCTGCTAGGGCTGGGCAAGTGTGGGTTGCTGGACTGCTAGGATCAGGAGTTGCCGTTCCACTCTTGTGGCGGGTGGGGCTTATCGGGCTGCAGATTTGTGGGCTGGGGATGGAAGATCCAAGATGAAGAGCGAAACAGAGGGACAAAATGACAGAGAGAGAGGCAGAGAAAGAGAGAGATGCTGTAAGGCAGTAAGATAGAGAGAGAGCATGGGAGACTGCAGGAAGAAGGGAGAGTTGCTGCAAGGGATGGGGAGAGAGAGGGAGGTTGCAAAGGAGAAAGAGTTTCAAACCTGTTGCCAAAGGAATACTCAGTTAACTAGGAGCCAGGTAAACTTAAATCACTGAGGTATTGAAGTCTTCGCAATTGAATATAGAATCTCCGGCTTAAGGTTTCACATGCTCAGGAGCTAAGATATGGGAGAATGATGTAAAGGATGCTGTTGTAACAAACAGTGTGTCAATTGTTAAATTTCAAACTAAGATTGAGATCTAAGACACAGCAAAAATGATGGTAACTACGTAATAAAATCTTCCAGCTTTTTTCGTGTGCACTGGAAATATATTAACTGTAACATTATCAGACTGTGGAAGGTGTGTTTGGGGTGATAACCTTTCGTGTGTAGAAGTTTTTGTCAGCAATTTTGAAAAAAAACTTGTTCCCAGCTTATGACTGTTGTTTTGTGCTAAATTAAATATGGTGGGGTCTAAGAAATTAATGCTTTCATTGCATACTGTGGCTTTAAGTTTAATGGAGGGCTTATAATTATTGAGGAAATTGATGAATTTTTCTAATTCTGCTTTCAAGAGTCCAAATATACCATATGTCAACACAAATACAGGTAAGGTATTATTACAATGTGACTGCAGCACCTCATAAAGGAGCAAAAATGGAAAAGAAGCTCCTGAAAGCCAAAATATAGCTTTGAAAGTCAATAAGTAACCCTCCAGAAAATCTCAAGGAAGGCCCCTTGAAAAGAAAAGGCACATTATCATAATTATAGTAACAGATGCAGTAACACATGCACATGCATGACAAACACACACTACCACCCAAGCACCAGGCAATGACTAATTCCAATAAGAGGGAATCTCATCAACCTTCCTTGGCCTTCAATGGCATTACCATCACTGAATCCCCCACTATCAACATTATGCGGGGTTACCATTGACCAGAAACTGAAGCAGACTGGCCATATAAACACTATGCCTACAAGAGCAGGTCAGAGGTTAGGAATCCCGCAGCAAGTAACTTAACTCCTGTCTCCTCAATGCCTTTACACCAACCCTACCACCTGCAACTTCCCCTCCAAGACATTCAACTTCCTGACGTGGAAATATATTGCTGTTCCTTCAGTGTCACTTGAGTCAAAATCCTGGAACTACCTCTTTAAAGATGTTGTGGGTGTCCCTGCTCTCCAATGTCCCTGCCATCTCTGCAGTGCAAATAGGGATTGGCAATTAATGCTGGCTTAGTCTGTGGCACCCACATCCCATGAATGAATAAAAAAGTACACATGAATGCGCACATTGGGCTTGTTTCCCACCCTACCACCAAAAAGTCAACTGGTAAAGTATCCAGGTCCTGACATCTGCACCCCAGCTAGTTAACACTCTTGTTGAATGTTAGTTGACTGGAGGCAGGTAATGGCTCCTCAGCTTTGGAGGAAATCCCACCTCACAGCGCCAGTGGCAGTGGTGGCCACTGCTGGAATTATATTGAGTCCCAAGGACAATACGCCAAAAACTGAGGATGGAAGTAACTCTGGGAGTCTCTGGTAGGGTCAAGAGAGTAGGGATCCTCGTGGTTCTGGTTGCTAAGGACAGGGGGAGATGATACACACTGGGAGAAGGGGAAGATCTTGGGTTTACTTCGAATTTGGAAAAGGGGCCTGTGATGGAGTCATCCCCCACCCCTTTCTGCCTGAGGTCCATACCTTCTCAAGTATCAACACAAAACCCCTCATCCCCACCCAGTCCCCATATCTGGCCTCCTCCCACTGGCTTCAAAATTGTGGTCAAGCAAGATGCAGCCCTTAAGTCACCACTTAAAAGCCTTAACTGGGGCACACGAGGATGTAAAATTGCTGGTGAGTCAGAGGCAGACAGGTAAGTGGCAAGAATGTCACTGGTAGTATCTTATGTGTCTCTGCTGTAAGATTCTGCCCACTAAAAGCACACATTTACACACAACACGGGTATACATAAGCACAATTATCCATATAAAGACAAAAGCACATATACCAAAACAAATATACACACAAACATGCACATACTATCACAAGCCTGAGCACCCAGGCACATACTAGTACCCATATACCTCTTCACATTAACAGACACACTATAATACACTTGCACTAACAAACATAGACACACATTAACACTCATATTCATGTAAATTTTAGAAATGCAGGTCCCTTCAAGAATAAATGAAAACAGCTCCAGAGCAGAAGTGTAATAACATCACTGAACATGTTCATTGGAAAAAGTGACCTTCCCTCCATCATTAAAACTAGGAGGCATAGTCTCAAAATACAGGGGAGCAGATTTAGGACTGAGTTGAGGAGTAACTTCTTCACCCAAAAGGTTGTGAATCTGTGGAATTCTCTGCCTAGTGAAGTAGTTGAGGCTGCCTTGTTGAATGTTTTTAATGTAAAGATAGAGAGATTTCTGAATAGTAAGGGAATTAAGGGCTATGGTGAGTGGGTGGGTAAGTGGAGCTGAGTCCATGAAAAGATCAGCCAGGATCTTATCGAATGGTGGAGCAGGCTTGAGGGGCCAGATGGCCTGCTCCTGCTCTTATGTTCTTATGTTCTTTTAAGACCAGGAGTGGGGATGTTCGCCAATGTTCAACACCGTTTGTTACTCCTCAGATACTGAAGCAGTCAATGTACAAATGCAACAAGATCTGTACAGTATTCTGGCCCAGGGCTGACAAGTTGAAAGTAACATTCACACCACACAAATGCCAGATAATGGCCATCTCCAATAAGAGGCCATCTAACCACTGCCCCTTGACATTCAATGGTGTTACCATCACTGAATCTCCCACTATCGGTCCTTGGAGTTACTATTGACCAGAAACTCAAGTGGACTCACCATGTAAATACCGTGGCTAGAAGAGCAGGTCAGAGGCTAGGAATACTGTGGCAAGTAACATACCTCCTGACTCCCCAAAGACTGTCCAGCATCTACAAGGCACTAGTCAGGAGTGTGACAGAATACTCCCTACTTGCCTGCAAGGATACAGCTCCAACAACACTCAAGAATCTTGACACCATCCAGGACAAAGTAGTCCACTTTTTTGGCACCACATCCACAAACATCACTCCCTCCGCCACCGATGCTCAACAGCAGCAGTGTGTACTATTTACAATATGCACTTCAGAAATTCACCAACTCGCACTTCCAAACCCATGACCATTTCTATCCAGAAATGAGAGAGCAGATTAACAGGAACACCACCTCCTGCAAGATGCCCTCCAAGCCACTAACCATCCTAACCTGGTGAAACTCCTAAGTAATGTGAGTGTTCAGGCTGCAGAACTGGCAGCCATGGAGTATGTAGTAAGCCACCTTGCAGAGTTCTCCACTCCAGCAGATATATATTCAGATGTGTGTAATAACCTGACAGATTTCCACCCCATTTGCATCGGACATGGCGAAGATGCTCAAACCCTAAAATTACTGAACTTGACATTAAGTCCTGAAGGCTGCTGGGTTCCCAAGTGGAAAATCACCACAGAATCCCTACAGTGTGGAAATAGGCCCTTCGGCCCAACCAGTCCACACTGAACCTCAAAGCCTCCCACTCAGACCCACCCCGCTATAACCCACCTAATCTACACATCCCTGAACACTACGGGCAATTTAGCATGGCCAATCCACCTAGCCTGCACATCTTTAGACTGTGGGAGGAAACCCACGCAGACACAAGGAGAATGTGCAAACTCCACACAGACAGTCACCCGAGGCTGAAATCGAACCCAGGTTCTTGGCTCTGTGAGGCAGCAGTGCTAACCACTGAGCCACCGTGCCACCCAGATGAGGTGATGTTCTTCTCGCTTACACTGAGCTTCAATGGGGCACTGCAGCAAGCCCGAAACAGAGATGTTGGCCAGGGAACACAATGGTGTGTTGACGTGGGAGCAACTAGAAGCTCAGGGTAATTTTTACAGACAGACCGTAGGTGTTCTGCAAAATGGTCGCCCAGTCTGTCATTCAGCTTCACAAAGTAGAGGAGCCCACACAGTGAGCAGCGAATACAGTAGACTAGATTGAGTGGTGTGCAGGTAAAGTGCTGCTTCACCTAGAAGGTGCGTCCAGGGCCTTGGTCAGTGAGGATGGAGGAAGT